CACTCAGAGTTTAAGGGATACGAGTTTTAAACAGCTATTGTATTTATATGTTCAGAATGTTTACTCATCATAATGCAAGGATAATAAAAATTTGTCCACATCCATTCCAGCTGGAAATGAACTGGGTAGCTTCTTTTTCTGTCAAAAAAAATAAAAAAATAAAAAAATGAAAATAAAATAAAATAAATTCCTGGAAAAAATAAACCTAAGTTAACATATTGAACTTAAACAAGGCCATAAAGCTTTAAGTCAACTCAGAACCCTTATTGGGTTCTTCTATATACTACTAAAATTGTTGCTAAGTTTTTTAGTTCATTAGAATTTTAGTTATACAGACAAGTACAAATTTTAGAAATCTAAGGCAATAAAATATACATCAATGGTTCTTCAAATATTAGTTTAGGGCAAAAGACATTATACGAATCCAAAATGCTGAATGAGATAAGATAGAACATGCTTTCTATAAGGTGGTCATTGCTGCCAAGCCATAAACCTTAGAAAGCTTTACTAAAGTTTTAAGAGTAACAGGTACTTTTCAAGTTCCAAACACATAATATACATCAGGCACTATACATTTAGTCCTCACAGCCATCAGGTAAGATGTGTGGTAACCTTCTGTTAAATGATGCAGCTGAGACTCAGAGAGGCTATATGGGCTTAACCAGTCACAGAACCAAAAAGGAGATGCAGGATTTTAACCTAGACTTGCATGGCAGCAAAGCCAAGATTCTTTCTCTGATACCATATTTTAAACACCTTTCTTTCTATTCAATCCATTTACTAAATGGCTAAACAGATTTAGGAAAAATGAGTTTCATTTATCAATGCTATTCCTGTAATGCTTTCCTCCAGATAACCAGAGTTAAAGGAAAAAAAAAAAAAAAACCCAAAAAACCCAGGTAAATTAGTTTTTACACTGCTCAACACATTAACATCTAAAAGAGCCTATGAAAGACATGGCAGGATATGTGAAAAAAAACCAAGATGTAAGAATTGCTTGGTAAAAAAAGTTTACATGGTAATTCTACACACAATCGTGGCTTCCCAATCTTTCACGCATTATGTCATTTTCCCCCACAAAAAAACTTAGATCCTACCATGACAGAAACAAAACCTCCTTTTCCCAAGGAAGATGTTTATAAACAAAAGCCTTAGGATTGTTTTGAAAATGCCTAGACAACTGATTACCACACTGGCTGAGAGACACTACTACAGAATGTTTTTGCTAATCAAAGCTCAGAGCTATCTGACCAGATTGTTCAGTCAGAGACAGCAAACAATGCTGAGCTTTTGTGAGTGAGCATTGAAGGAAGGGCAAAGGTATAATTTTGAAATTAAAACTTTCAAACTTGCCTTAATTCTCTTCTTTTTCATTGGTACTGATGAATTTGCAATATTTTTATTAGAAGTACGAGAGTTTCGCTCACGCTCATCTAATTCCTCAATTTTCCGCTTTTTTGTGGTGTTCCTTGAAGATGCTCTAAACTGTTGTGTATTGTCTTTTAGAGGAGTTGTTGATGTAGTCCTAGAAATAGCTGCTCTGGAGAGAATCATTAATGTATGGGCAGCCATGTTTACACTATTTTCACTCCCTGTTTCACTGGCAGGGCTGCAGGCAGGCAAGTCTGGGGTGACAGGAGGGACCATTACTTTGGGTGTACTACTATCTTCAATGAAACGCCTACTAGAAGGGACCTTGATACCATCTGTAGGTTCTTCTTTATGTTTTTCCCCTGCCCCTGAGCCAGATGTACGGGGTACAGATAAATGAGTACTATCAGTGAGCCTATTTACTGGGCTATGTCGCTGAATATCCTGTAACATTTCTGTGGTATGTTTACTTAGCGGATTAATCAAAGAATTGGCAGATTTGGTTTGTTCCTGTTTTAGATCCTTCATGGCTGCACCTACTGAAATGACATTTTTACTATTTGAGGATGTTCCTTGTTTTTTGGTTAGTTCCTGCAGTGAAGCTATAGTTTTCTCATTCCGTAAACCCCCATTTTGCTGCCCATTAGACAGTTTTGAAGTTTCTGGATTTTTCTGCCTTTCCACGTCATTGCATAATTCATTCTCCTTATTAGCTGTTGCTTTATGAAAAGATTCCAGTCCAACTTCTGTTGGTGAAATTTTCTTTTCTGACAGAGTTTCTTTTACGGTGATGTGTCGGTTAATGGCAGTTTCTGATTTAGATAAAATCTTAGGCACAGGAGGTTTCTCTCTCTCCTTTTTGAGAGCATTATTAGAAGGGGGTTTTAAGGCAGAAGACATCATGGACGAATCAAGATTAGGAAATAAAACGTCATTCTTTTCTCTGTTTTGGGAGACCATCTTATGGTTTGTCCCCTGTGTATTTGCCATAGGAGAAGCAGTGCTATCAAAACAGAGCACACGTCTGTGGCTTTCAAATGGTTTGCTAGTTGGAACTATATTCTCTACTGAGAAGGGAACTGTGATTTCTTCCAGTTTTTTCCCAAGATCTATTGCCATATTCTTGTCAGAAACTTCAATTCTTAAAAAAAAAAAAAAAAAAAAATTAAAAATATAAAAAAAAAAAAAAAAAAAAAAAAAAAATCTGAGCATTCAAATAATTTATAATAGAAACTACTTTTATGCTCACCTTTGTGCATGACATCCAACTAAATGACTTGATGAATCCACCAAATTATTTACCTGCTTTCCTGGAATTACAAATGAATTAATTAGAAAAGAAAAACATTTCTGAGAGAAAGGGTATAATTCTCTGAAAGAAACAGAAACAGACCACAGTATCACAGATCATGAGAAATAAATGATAGCTAATGTACAAATGAAATACTTTCACATATTGAGTTTAAAAAGCAGCTCTATAATATATACAAGATGATCACTCATACATTTTACAGAGGAAATATGGATAGAAAACAAATGTCTTGCTTCAACTTCAGGCAAATATTATGAATCCAGTCTTTGGCTTTATGAATTACAATGCTCAGTACAGCACTTAAGGGTCCTATTTAGATTCAGAAAGTTACTTAAGGAAAGTAATATGTTACACTTATTTTAAAAATTTGCCCACATAACTGTCATGTTTGTTTCCAAGCCTATGCCACTTAGAGCACATGCTCTATAGCTTTAATAGCCATATTTTAATTTCCATGGACTTATAAGTTTATGTGAGAACAGCAAGATACAAAGCTTGAAAGAATATCAAAGATGAGATCATGAAAGACTTTATGTATTATGCAGAAGGTTCCATAGAGAATCCTTAAGAGTTTTAAATAGGGAAGATACATGATTAGATTTATGTTCTAGAGTCACTTTGGTAGAAGAAAATATTGTAAACAGAAATTCTAGTTGGACGGCTATAAATATTCCAGGTCAGAGATGATGAGGGTCTCAAGAGACAGTAAAGGGCATTCACAGAGATATGAAAGGTAAAGAAGGAATCAATGGTGACATTAACCAAGGGGGAATAATTAGGCAGGGGAGGTCTTCGAGGAAGAAGAGGTGAAACTTAGATATGTAGAGTTCGAAGGTCTCAAATTACATAAAATCAGAAAGGCAGAAGTGTAGTAGTTTAGTGGTGGTTCCAGAAGCCATCAATAGCATGAACTGTTAGAGGTAAGTAAAGTAAGAATGGAAACTGTCCAATGCAAATGACTATATTAGGCCACTGGTAACTTCAGTTTAAACAGTTTTAGTGGAAACATGAGAAAAGACAGTAAAACAAATAAAGAAAAATTGAGAGATAAAAGGGCTTGGGGATAAAGCATTGGCAGGTGGGACAAACTTAAGTAACTTTATAGCCAGAAACGAAAGGAGCCAAAATGAAAAGTTGAAGATCTATAATCTAGAGCACAGGTAGAATGCATTAACCTTACAAAGAATGAGATAATTATTTCTCTAAGGAAAGAATGCTTTTGGAAGTAGAATAGGTACATATTAAATGGAGGGACATGAGAAAATGGAATTTACTGCTGATGAGTGGGAGAGAATTTTTTAAGTGGTATCAAAGGGCATGACACTTTTTCTCAAGCAATGTTAAGAAGCTCAGGTGTAAAGGCAGAGATGGATGGTTGTTGGTTAGATCCAGGACTGGAGCATAGCAAGTGGGTATGGTAGAAGAATGTGGATATGAAGGTGTTTAAGAGTACTGGGAAAAGTGGTTTGTGTGGTGAATTGTAGGGTGTAGCCTGGATATTAAAGGAACTGAATCCAGAAAGAAACTGAAAGTTCAGGTAAAAAGTAAAGATTCAAATAATAGGAGCTCTCACTGGTTGAAGAGAGACAATGGATATATGAAAATGAGTATTTCGAAAGATGTTATTGGCCTTTAAAAATCACATTGATCTAATAGGAACTAGTGAAAAATTGAAGGCAAAGATAGGGGAGAGGTTGACTGGGGTAAAGATTAAAGACTTAGAAGTAGAAAGGCTGAAAGAATTCTGAGGGTTAGGGTGTCTGGTATGTTAGCAAAATGGGCATTATGTTGCCCATGAAGTTGGAAAAGTTTGAACTGAGAACGAGGTGCAAATTCATGGTGCAACATTCATCGAGGCCCTGAATGAAAATCTAGTGTTACTTTGTATATAGTCTTTTGTTGACAAAATCTTTAATTTTGTAGTCAGCACTACCACATTTTTTACTTTGTAAATTATGTTTTTATTTTTTGAAAGCAATTCTTTTATCTCAGTATCATTAAGATATTCTCTTACATTTTCTTTTATTAACTGTTTTGCTTTTCACTTTTAGGTCTTTAACCATACTGGAGTTCACTTTTGTACATGGTATAAGAAAGGGATCTAATTTTTTTCCCTCTAATATGTATAACGGCCAAGAAATTTCATCCACTCTGATGTTACTTCCATCAGATATAAGTTCCTATAAACACGTGGTCTCTTTCTAAACTCTATTTTGTTCCATTTATCTTTTTAATTGCTGCAAAAAAACTTTAAGCAAAAAATGAACAATCACCCATTGGGAATGGTGTATGTATTCAAAAAGAAAATACTGTGGTGTTGCTACAAACAAATGAATATATAGACATAAAAATGACACAATGAACTTAGAAATGTACCTGTACAAGACTTATTTCTTAGTCCCTGAGTCTTCTGAGATTTTGGAGGTATGGAGAATTGAGGGATACTTCTATTGCATACGGGTGCTGCCAAAGGCATATGAAGGACCTATAAGAGAAGAGGCCATTAATTATACTATGTTTAAAAAGTATCATCACACTATTTTTAGTTCATAAATCTTACCGGCTGAGGAGCAGAAAATGTATTTCCATTCTGTCCAACCACAGACACAGGAATCATTCCTACCATTCCTTGGAGTACAGGCTGAACTGGAGAAGCAATTATGATAGCAGATCCTAAAATAAACCCAAAAACCAAAAACAAAAAAAACTCAAAATTAGATTTTCTCTGATAAACAAAAGACATCAACATAATTACTAATTTGAAATAGGCTATCTAAAATTTAATTCTTTTTCCTTTACAATCTACTCTCCTTTTAAAAATTTAGGACAAACAATAAAGCTAAAAAGTTAAAAGAAAAAGTAAATTTGAATATTAATGTAGTCTTAGGGCATTTAGTCAAGTTATCATAAATAAGCATAAGACTCTATAGCCAGATCATATTACAGTTATGTCTTGATTCTTCTAGAAAGAATAGTGAAACTGATTAAAATTAGGGTCCCAACTGAATGGTAACAGCCCAAGACTTGTTCACAACCTCAACCTATTATCTCAATGGTACTGATCAAAAAGGGTCCAGATAAGTGAACAACTAGTCAAAACTGTGGGGGGAAATCTCAATACGTATATGGTCCTTAGAAGTCAACAATATAGTACGTGGCTATCATAATTTAGCTCTGCCCTGTAAATCAATCTTTCCCTCATACATTCCCTAACTACTTCTGTCAGGTTGATCTCACTTTCATGAACACCTACTTCACTCTCTCAAATACCTCCTTTCCTTTTACTCCAAATGCTACTTTACTTCTCTAAGCTTCAGCTCAAGTTCCACATTCTCTATTAATTCTGATCCCTCCTTTATCTTAAACAGCATATGAAACAGATCCATCAGGCTTAATATTTCATTGCTATTATTTAATCAGATTTTATTGTATGTCTGTAATGTAAAAAGAGCAAGAAGCTTGGGAACCGATACATAAGAAAATGTAGATGCATGTGCCGTAAGCTCTATCTTCAAGGAACATACAATCAAAAATGACCAATATGACAGGCATGTCAATCACTAACTACACATAAAATGGCATGTAATAAATGCTGCAAGTACTACTATAAACAAAGAATTCTAGAGACAGTGATCAATTCTGGAACGTGGAAGGCAGTGAGAAATTACAGAGGATTTTATGGAGAGAGAAATTCAATAGATAATAGATTCTTTGAAAATTAAGACTATAATGGCTATTTAAAAAATCTTCCATAACATTGGGTTTCAGTAGGTATACACCTATTTGATAGTCTTTATTTCTTTAGTACCTCAGTACATGGATTGAGAATTGTGAAAAAATACTAAAAAGTAAATCACCAAATTCCATAGCTTACCAGATTTTTAAAAAGTGTGACAGAATTAATTAAAGAGGAAGTATAATCACCAATTTCAGAATCTTTTCTAATACTACCTATGACTTATTACCACTTAGTCAATAACTCCATACACAATAGAAATCAGAGCCTATTCCAGGGAAATAAACTTTAATATGTTCTTAAAGTTACCTTGTGAAAAAGTGGGTGACACAGCTTGGTTGACAGCAAATACACTGTTTGACCTTGGTGGTGTCTGTAGTTGAGGTGGTGGAGGTTGGGCACTCAGAGGTGCAGAATTCCCAGGCAGCACCACAACATTAGATTGACTTACAGTTGTTCCTAAGGCTGATGGATCAGTTACACAGGTAGCTATCAGAATGTTATTTGAATTGCCAAAAGTTGTGCTTGTAGTTGGCATCAACTGTATGTACCCTCCATCCTTGGAAACACATGGTGTAACACTGGCTGAAAAAGCAATGCTCTCTTCATTCTGAGTGCTGTTTACTGCAGAGTCTTCGGGTTTAAGCACTAAAAGGCTCTGTTCCATTGAGGCTGAATCCCTTATTACTTCAGCAGATGAGATAGCACCTGCCATTTCTTCTGAAGATAGGCGTTTAACTATTTCTGCATTTTTGGCAGGTGATTTAGCAGATGACAAAATTATAGTTGGCAAATTTTCACCACTGATACTAGAAACAGCACTGTTAAGTTCTGTTTCTGAGGAAACAAATGGATCATCACTGATGATAATTTTGAGAGAGACAATATTCGATGCATCTATCTCTGTTGCGTTGTCGCTAGCAGGTTTATCACTAGTATTTTGGGACTTGGGGTGAGAATCTACCACTGAAGAACACACAGATTCTGGAGGAACAGAATGTCTATCTTCTATAAGATTACTTTCTGGAGGCATCAGTGCAACTTCCTCACAGTTATTCTCACCTAGAGAGAGAAAAATACTATTGCCATCTTCTTTTACGGAAGATGAGGGCTCTTGTAAATCCAAAGCAACTTTCTCAGATTTGGAGGGCTGCAGTTCATGGTGTGTATGATTTAACTCAACACATGATGCATCATTAGATGGTTCTTTAATTGAAGATATTGAATCTCCAAGACAAATTTCTACTTCTTGTTCAGATACATTTAAACCTGAAGTTTCAACAGACACAGGTAATATTTTACTTTGAAGTGAAGAATTATCTTGGCAATCTGAAAGTTGTGATACAACTGGTAATACATTATTAATTTCAATTCTACTCTGGTGAATTTCTCTAGAATCTGGTGACTTAGAACCATGGAAATTAGTTTTAAGTCTTCCTGTATCGTTAGAACTTTCACAAAATTGACTTTTTTTAGATGGTTTTCCAGTTAATGGTATATTTGAGGATAAAAGTTGAGAACTTTTCCCAGAAAGAATTAAGTTTTCATTGTTAGTTTCACCATCAAGGGAAACAAATGAAGTTATTGGTATATCAGACTGATCAGGCTGTAACTGAGATTCATTTGGTACATTTGGAGACAAGGAATTCTTTTCAACTTCCACAGCCATTTCGGTTTCAGTGGACATCTGACTGGTATATAATTCAGGACACTGCTGATTACATTCGGCATCAGAATTTACTCTTTGGTTAAAGTCATTTAAATTAGGCACAGATTCAAAGGTAATATCAAGGTTACTCTTCTGTTCAGTAGGAATAATTGTTTTGAAGGCCTTTTTCTGGATGCTAGAGCCTGTCTGGGAAAAATGTTCCTGGGCTTCTTGTCTAAGCTCATCATGGTTGCTGACGTTCTTCAAAGCATTTGATGTGTCTTCATTTTGATAAGATGTACAAAATGAGGGTTGACCAGATTGATCATCTGCAAAATATCAGGATGGTAGAAAGATATGGTGAGTATGTACAGCTTCTGAGGTATTATTATTTCTACCATGAGACCTATTTTGCTAATGCATTAACTAATCATTGACATACTAGTAAGCAGAAGCCTGATAAACTTTATCTTCCATTTTCTGAGTATCAAAACACTTAAAGGTACTTTTTTTTATTACTGATATCTTTTTAAATAAGTGCCAAATTGTTTTTTTAAGCCTCTTGGAAAACAGATGGCACAATGAAGGAAAAAGTATATAGTTTTAAGAACATCTAATATTTACCAGTTTGTTAAAAAAACTGGCTTTAATATGCAGTTTTTTCCAAAACACTTGACTTTTCAACTTGTACCATTTCTACTGAACTTACTTTATCTGATACATTCTTAAAAGTGAAATGGGGTCAAGTACACTTTGCATGATCAATATTTGATATTATTGTATACTGTTTAACATTTAACACATTTACTGAAGATCAACTATATGATTGGTACTGGAATTTAAAGATGAATGACCTTGGAGAAATCAGTCTAGTAAGGGAAGCGGGTATAGAACAGAAAGTCAAAATAAAACACGGTAAAAACTATAAAAATAGAGAAACAAAAGGCACCTCTTTCTGCCTGGGGAAATGAGAAAGTGATATAAAAGAGAAGATCTTGAAAAATAAAAGAACTGTAACAGCGGGAGTAAGAAGGACATTTCAGAAAATAACAGCACTGAAACACTGTGTCATACAGCATTCACAGTTTAGGACAGAAAACAGTAACAATTAACAATATGAAAAAATGTAGACTCCAGAAAATGTTTATCAACTATCACATAATTCTGTTAAAGTGGTATCGGTAAAACAATATTGGGTATAGAGCACGTCTGAAGTAGTGGAAATTACATCCATGTCAAATAAATTGAGTTGGAGTCAGTTTCACTCAAGTGGGAAGACCTTCTGAGAAAGAGCATTTCAAGTTTCATTTTGTGCAGGGTAGAGCTTAACTGAAGCACAATCTTCCACACGTAATACATAGTGAGAAAGACACACCCTACCATAATTCAGCCTAAGAAGAAATGGGAGGATTGGGCTTGGGTGTAGGCAGGCACAAGACTCAAAGTAAAAATGTAGTCTGAGTTACTCCAAAACTAGTTTCTGTAAGACATTATGTGAAACTTGGAAGCCATATCATTTTTAGGAGGCTTAAGAGGATAGTGACATTTAAGATGGCCATAAAAGATTACTTTGGCATAGCTCATGTTGACAGAAATGGATAGAGGTGGCACTCTAACGAGGCATAAGGTCTAGCAAGAAGTGTAAGATGCCAGCATAACGTGAGAGAAGCCATAGTAGTTATCACTGAGGAACAGGGATGGAGAAAAAATTTATTGGGAGGGGATATGAATAGAGGTTTTGGTGGTGCTGGAGGTGTTCTATTTTTTTGACTTGAGAGATGGTTACATGGTGTTTGATGGATTTTAATTCAATAAGCTATATGTGTATATATATATACACACACACACACACATACACATTTTATTGTATACTCTGTACACGTGTTATATTTGACGAAAGTAAAATTTGAAGAAAATTGGCAAATATTTAAAAGATCTAAGATGGACATATTTACTGCTTTCCCTCATTCAAAAAGTTATTGTGGGGCAATTATATGCCATATTGGTATTCCATGGGAGGCAGAAATATAAAGAACTGACTATAGACACATGGGAATGTTACCTAAAACCTTAGAAAATCCGTAATTCAAGACTATCACATACAATTTCCTCTAAATAAGTGGGATATAGATACTAAGCAGTCAGCTAAACTTGCTTACTAGGCTGAATGATTAATACTATACACCAACCTTACATATTAAGGATTTGAATTTGTGGCTCAAAAAATTGTTACATGTTATAGACTTTTGTTGAATTGGTCAACACTATTAATACTGAATTGTGCAGGTCGATAATCTATTGGATCATGAAAGGGTAAGTATTAAAAATTCACCTTTTAATCAAAGCACTAACGGCTGGGGAGTAATTTTCTTTTTATTTCTTCCTAGTGAAGAGAGAAAACTAGAAAGACAAAAACGACCTATGTGGCAATTTGAACAACTTCCAAATTAAACAGTATTTTTTGCCTTTGAAATTTTGAGACTGACATTAGGATTTGGATTGATGATATTAACAAAGTCAAATTCTTACCAGATTCTTCTGTTTTAAAAGAACCTTTAACTGCTAGATTAGTTTCATCTGCTAAGACTACATTGGGATTGGTTTCCATATGCTGACTGGAAATGCCTTGTGATATATTTTTATTATTCTTTGTTTTACCTGTTAAAAAGGGAACAGGGAAACAATTGGTTAAATGACCAAAATAAAAATAAGCATCAATTAATGCAGCTTGACAGTGGTCAAGCAAATGTTAAACTTTGGTTTTACTTATGGATTTTGGATGTTTTTAATATGTTGCCTTATATATATCTTTGAGAAGTACAAAGATTTTTCCATCAGACTTGTAGTTCTTAAATTTCACCCTATTATCAGAATCACCTGGGGCGGGGGGAGGAGGGGTCCAATAATTTGCATTTTTAACACGTTCTCGGATAACACTGATACTGCTGGTTGGGGGACTACACTTTGAGAATTACACTGCACTAGGCTGTAAGATTGAGGGAAGTGGCCAATTTTTAAAATTCCTTTTGTATTATCCAATTGTGTTTAATATAATGTATGTATAGTAGTAGACTTCAACACATTTGTGCTGACTGGCAAAAATGCCCACAAAAACAAATCACAAAACTGTTCTCCATTTTTACTGCTAGCTAAAGTTTTTTTAACAAAGAACAGAACAACAACAAAAAAAAACAACAAAAACCCCTTTCATATCCATATAATGTTTAATAAAAATAGGAACTTTTTTCAGAAGCTCTGGGGAATGTTGCTTCACTCTGGTTAAGTTTCCAAAGAAACCAGAGAAATGTTTTTCTTCTAACTGCCTTGAAAGAAATGGTCTTCTTACCATAGTCAAAGAGATCAAAGAGTGCCTGAAATGCTGGATCTGATTCTGTCTGTTCCAATATATCCTGTATAGCTTCTTCAGACATGTGAATTTCATTCTTAAAAAAAAATACAAAACCCTCATTAATATGTTTAATACCAGCTATATTCCAAAACATTGAAATAACATGAACACGCAAACTATATATGTGTATAAATACAAAATAAAATTATGCTTCTTTATATAACACATAGGACTGTGTAAGTTTTAAGTGTACAGCATAATGACTTCACCTACGTGTATTGTAAAATGATTACCACAGTAAGTTTAGTTAACATCCATCAACTCATACAGATTAAAAACATTTTTTTTTCCTTATGAGACCTCTTAGGATCTACTTTCTTAACAACTTTCAAATATACCATACAGCAGTGCTAACTACAGCCATCATGTTCCCAGGACTTATTTATAACTGGAAATGTGTACCACCTTCCTCCAATTCCCCCATTTCCCCACCCTTTGCCTCTGATAACCACAAATCTAATCTCTTTTTCTATGAGTTTGGTTTTATAATGCTAATATGTTTCTTTCACATTAGCTATTGTACACTGCTTACTAGGTCTTCCGATATAAATCAATCTCACCCCTTTTATCTTTCTGCTTTGGTCTTTATATTAAATGTTTTCTTCAAATGTTGGACGATCCTTTCATGTCTGTTCATATTTAAAAGTAGCATGCTCAAAGTTACCTGAAAACTTTGTGCTAATGGGAGCTTGTCAACTACAATCTAAGGTGTAGAATAATCTTATAGAACCATCTGTATTTTTAGTTTTTTCTCTCAAGTTAAGATTTCTTGCGAGGAGAGTAGGATTGACAACAGTATTTCTGAGGGAAACTGTGGAATGGAGAGAAGATATGGAATTTAACTACTTTCTAAATTTTGCAACCTGTTTATTGAAGTCCTATCTTTACCTTTACTTTCAAAAGTACTGGTGCCGAGCCTTTTGGGATTTGTGTTATAAAGTGGCTTTTACCTAAGCTTTGCTTTTACTGCTAAATCAGGTACCACTTGTTCCTCTTCTTTGTCTTTGTGGGTTAATACTTTTTAAAAATTCTCTATATTGTCTTTTTAGTATTAGAGTACAAAACTAAATTTTTAATCCACTGTTTTAAAAAGAAGGAATCCTTTTGTAACAGACATTTTTGTTTGCATAACTATGCCATAATTTAACTAATTCCCACTTTTGGACATTTGAATTTTTCTAATTTTCAGTTACGGTAAATAATACAATGAAAACCTTTATCTAGGCCTCTGTTCATTTCTTGGGATAAATTCTTCAGTAGAATTACTATGTCCAAAGATATATAGATTAAAAATTTTGAAAACTACTGCCAAGCGGCCTTCCAGAGAAGTTGTATAAGGATGCCTGTTCTGTTTTGTGTGTAACATGCTCTTACACAACAGATAGTATCAATTTTTAAGCATTATCAGTCTAAGAAATAAAAGTAATCTGATGACTTAATTTATATTTATTATTGAATTGAATGTATGTCCATGTTTACTGGATATCTGAACTTTTTGGAGACCAATATAATTTAAATAAAATGATACTGAACACACTTTAAAATAACTCATTCAAAGCTGGTATGCAACCATGTAGTAAAAGTATCCCCTACCCATGAGCAGTCAGCAGAAGTGCTGAGATTTCTCACACTTACAAGCTATTAGGGTAAAACACCACCACCGCTGCCATGTTTCCTGTAAAAGTCATTGCAAACAGAGTAGATTGATAATTCTTATACTGGAGATGGAGTAGTATGCCAGAAGAATGTGTAAAGTAACTGGATAAAAATGATGTATTTTTCAACTGCACTAATTTTACATGAAGACTTAAGATATTTTTTAAAACATATTTTAAAAAATAAAACAAACAAGCACAGATTATAGAATAAAAAGCAAAACTGACAATATTTTCAGTTAAAATATTAGATTTCAAAGAAGTTTCAGTACTCCAGCTAAGAGTGTTCATTTACTCTTCCTTGATAGAGATGTTAAATTTTCAATTTCAGTTATCTACAAATCATTCTGCAATGCTGTATTCTTCAATTTTCATGAAGCATAACTTTTGAATCCTATGTGAAAGGAAATTCATGTGGGCAAGAGGTAAAGTGGAACTCTTGTAAAGTGATAAAAATTTGGATTTTTAAATGATTTTAAAATTCATAAAATGAAAAAAATTACTTGAAGTTAAAGAACCAGTTAACTTGGATTACAAGGATACACAGAGAATATCAATAATTTTTGGCAAAATGTGGTTTAGAAAAAATCAGGAGTTTGTTCAATATCTCTTTATCCATGAACTTGGAAATTTACAGTTCTCTAAATGTCAAATCAATGATCTAATGTTACTTGAACTATGAAATGGTACACCATACCCTCTTGGTTACTGGTGAAGAAACACATTTTTCTAGTAAATCTCTTTTTTTCTAAACTTTAAAAATGAGAAGGAAAAGAATCCTGAAATACACATTTCAGAGGTACTTAAAAATGAACCCTGTAAGTTTTCTTTAAAATCAAGGTATAATTTATATACAATAAAATGCATAGATCTTAAGTCTATATATAGTTCAATGACCTTTGACAACTGTAAGGACTGTGTAACCATCACCCTCAAACAAAATTAAAATGTCAAACATTTCCATCATCCATGAAATTCATACACCCACACAAACCATTCCCCTTTCTAGAGAACTGCTCCTCCTAGCAAATCACTCCCCTTACTCTCACTCAGGCAAAATTTCTGATTTCTATCAGCATAAATTAGTGTTGCCTGTTTTAGAACTTTATATTAATGGAACCATACAATATGCATTATTTTATGTCTACTGTCTTTGATCAACTTACCCTTAAGATTCATGAACTTGGATCAGTAGTTCATTCTACATGTATCAGTAGTTCGTTCTTTTTTATTGTTCAGTAGTATTCTATTTTATGACCGTATCAAAATTTTATTTTTTTTTGTTGATGGACATGTGGTTTGTTTTCAGAGTTTGTCTATTATTAATTAAGCTGCTATGAATATTCTTGTATAAATCTTTTTGTGAATATGTGTGAACATATTTCTTTGGGGTAAAATCTTAGTAGTAATTGCCAGGTCATAAGATAGGTGTATAAGTATATATATAACTTTCTAAGAAACTATCAGTTTTCCAAACTGGCTGTATTATTTTACACCCTCCGCCAGCAACTTTTCAGAGTTCTAGTTGTTTCACATCCTTGCCAACATTCAGTGGTATCAGATTTTTTTTATTTTAGCCATTCTAGTGAGTGTGAAATGGCATCTTGTACTCTTAACTTTCGTGTCCTAAATGACAAATAATGTTGAGTACCTTTTCATAGGCTTATTGGCCATTCCTTTGTCTGCTCTAGTTTTTCACCCATTTTTAAAAAATAAGGATGGCTTATCTTTTTATTATTGATTTGTGGGAGTTCTTTATATACTTTGGATATATGTTCTTTGCTAGATAGATTATGAATATTTTCTCTAAGTTGATGGTTTGACTTTTAATTTTCTTTAATGTTATGTGAACATAATAGTGCGACACTTAAATGAACCTAGATGATACAGCCTACTACAAACGTAGGCTATATGATATAGCCTATCGCTCCTAGAATACAAACCTATATATCATATGATGCTTTTAACTAGCAGATATTTTTAAAATTCCTACTTTACATGCATAACTGGCTGTTCACTGCTTAATGAAGTTGATGCATATACTACTCAGTTGGGTACTGTGTCTTGCTGTTCTTTTAAAAAATTATTTAAATTTGAATTTTTAACTTTTCCCAAATACTATATAATATTATGAACCAAGAACAGAGGGTGGTATCTTCACTTTCATATAATCTCTTACAGTATCTAATAGAGTACCTTGATTATACTAACCACCTGATTTCTAATGTTGTAGATAAAATAAAGGCAAAGAGTCTGAGACTATAAAAATTAAAACAGCCAATGTGTATCTGTTAAACATTAAGATAGAAGAGGCTTTTTAAAGCAGTACTGGTAAATAATTTAAAGATTGCTTTAAAAAGCTTATCATATTTTGTTAAACTTACCAAACTTCACTGTGGGAAAATATAGCAAAAATTTTTTAAAAGTATTCTGAAGGAATTGACGAAAGAAAAAAATTCAGTGCTTTCGCCCAGAATTCATCATCTTAAAGAAAACTTGCTATAATAAATACATTTTGTGGGCATGGCAACAAAAATGATTATATTGCCTATACTACAAGTAAAAGGACATGTTACAGTCACAATCTCAGCTGCTCTTCAAAAAGGATATTTGCACATGGACGAATCTTAAAACATAAAGTTTTCCTTTACCCGTTTGCACTCTCTCACCTTCACTTTCACTGAATAGCAACAGTGATGATATCCCCTATCTTCCTTCTCTCAGCTGTAAATCTTACACGACTACTCATTTAGCTAGTAACTTTTCTTTTTCAAACTGTCTTGTTCATTTTATTTTATTAAATATTACTAGGACTCATAGATCTTCAACATATTACTTCATTGTTTTTTTACATTTTTAGTTTGTAGCAGTGTAGAGGAAATAAATTATATATACACTGTACAGTACTGCTGCTTATTGCACTCAAATATACCCACTAAAGAAACTTTTAGTATTAAATATTTAGAAATCTATGACTGATTGTTGTATAGATATAAGTATTTTACTAATATCTAAGAGTTGGTTAGAGTTATTAGATGGGTTAGAAACGTCTTATTACTTTTAACATTTAAGTAATGCAATTTTAATATACATAAATCAAACCATCATGCTATATGCCTTAAACTTACTCAGTGATGTATTTCAATTATTTCTCAATAAAACTGGGAAAAAAAATAAATAGTCATGTGTCGCTTAACAACGGGTTATGTTCTGAGAAATGCATCGGTTGTCAATTTTGTTATGTGAACATAATAGTGCGGCACTTAAATGAACCTAGATAATACAGCCTACTACATACGTAGGCTATATGGTATAGCCTATTGCTCCTAGAACACAAACCTATATATCATATTACTGTAAAGAATACTGTAGGCGATTTTAACACAATGATATTTGTAAATCTAAACAAAGAAAAGGTACTGTAAAAATATGGTCTAAAAGATAAAAAAGGGTTTACCTGTATATAGCACCCAGCATAAATGGGACTTTCAAGAACTGGAAGTTGTTCTAGGTGAATCAGTGAGTGAGTGGTGAGTGAATATGAAGGGTGAGGACATTATTGCACTCTACTGTAGACTATAAAAATACGGTCCTATAAGCCCTGCCCTTGCTTCCTTCTGACAGGGTCAGATATAGAACATCGAAGCTGTCAATGCTGCTCCATGAATAAGGATGTGGGCTAGACTGATTGAAAATATGAAGTAGAAACTGGCTGGATAAGGTACAGACCACCATAATAGCGATTGTCAGGAAGGAGGGAAAGCTGGCCTAAGGATCAGTAGGAATACGAATCAAGATGGAGAGTTAAAAAAACATATAGGGGATTGTCAAGGTAATGTGGTTTTGGCTATTGCATGTTGGACCAGTGGTCAGATTAAGGAACTTTGTGGTATTTATAAAAAAAAGTGGGTGTAGAACTGAGAGGACTCAGTATTTTGACTTTGGAAATTTGTTTTTGGTTCCATTGACCCTACCTGCCGCAAAGAGCTCTCTGGCATTGAATTGATAGAAGCAATAAAACTTATCTATGCTTTCTATCATTTCAACCTGAAAATATTTCCAAAATATAGGACAGGCTGGCTCCACACTACCACAGAAAACTTTTACTAAAGTGACATTTAATATTATTAAGGCAGTGTCTGTGGACCTGTTTTTGTACGGCATCTTAGGTTTTCTGCAAAAAATTTACAGCAATGTATTCTGAAGACCATCAAGCTAGATCTAGGAGGGCCATAGCCTCCTTTGAATATGTAGTGCTGGGGACAGGCTCCTCTGTGTTGAACCAAGTCACTGGTAGACTTACTGGAAGGTAACTGCACTCAAAACTGAGTTGCTGTGAATGAGAGGGAATCTATTACCAAGGCCCACAGATATGGCTCCTGTCAAAAAAAAAAAAAAATCCTCCTGAACCACATATCCTTCTATTTCTTACAGAAAATTCAGCTCTATCAATAGTTATATGGGACCACATTTGTATATGTGGTCCATTGTTCACCGAAACACCGTTATGTGGTACCTGACTGAAATGAAATTTTGGCTGATTATTTGAAAATTCACTAACACATTTTTTTAAGCAATGGATTACATTCAGATAATAAAGGACATCTATATCTTACATTATTATTTTAAATAATTTTATAAGTTATCTAATTTGTTGGCAATGGTTTTGGAATGAAAGCAAAATACCATCAGTTTTAACTATATATACTACACATAGATACCTTTACCCATACCTGAAGTCCCAGGAGTTCATCAATTGAAGTCTCTGGTTCAGTAGGGTTGTTATCTGTTTGCTTAGGTGCTTGAGCAATATTGTTGTCGCTATGATACAGAAAAGAAAAATTTTAACACAGTTCTCAATTAGGCAAACACAGTTAGGCATTTTGAACACATACAGCTTACCTAGTCAAAAATTTATTAATGTTTTCTGCAAGCTTTTCTTGAAGAGATTTGTTGCTTAGTATTTTTTCTCGTGCATTTTCAATAACCATTTGCTGGAAAAGAAAGTCAATTATTAGCAAAACGATAGATAAAATATTATGTCATTTATATAAAAGAACCAATTAATGGAAGCTAGATAGTTTTAATAAATCTAGGTGAAAACTCAGTTTATGGAGGCTTCTTCCATATTAACATCTAAATACTACACTTTACAATTTATAAGTGTTTTCACAGATCCTTCGCCAATTCTTTCTTCACTGATTACAGAAGACAATTCTAAACTCTTTAGCTTTTCACACAAGGTTTGTAATAATCTGACTCCAGTAAAATGCCCTATTACATTACATAATCCAACAACAACAATGTATTTAGTGTTTCCTAAATATACTGCTGTTTCTTACTGGGTGCATTTGACATGCTATCTATTCTGAATGAACTGTCTCCTACTGTTAAACTTCGCCACCTTCTATCCCAAGGCAATTCCACTGCACAGTCTTATATAAAATATTGTATTATATATGCACAAATAATATATACACACTTGTGTATATATCAATATTTTAAAACTCAGTAACATATCACCGCAAAGTGTGGAAAACTTACTTTTTCTACTGCGAATGCATTTGGATCCTGGAAATTCCGTATCGTTGATTGAGGCCCAGACAAAGTGATACTTTTCCTTTGAGATTCACTGAAATACATTTTAAAAGCTTATCTTTTAACTGGTATGATTAACAGAGTCAATGATAATTGTATATACAGGCATAAATCTTAAGATCATGGTAGAACAGATATTTTCTTGATTTGTAGTAAGAACGAAGGGCAGTAAAGTACAAAAGCATTACTAGATTTGAATTAAGAAGAAACAAATTTAGCACTTATTAGCTATGTGGTCTGTAGCAAGGCAAGCTATAGCTAACCCTCTGACCAACTTTATTATTGGGTTTATGAAAAAACTGAATGAAATAAACTATATGTAAAGATGTTATAAAAAGGTCAAGGTTCCCATAAATCTTAGATATTATTACAGTTGTTTTACTTTTTATGTGTTTAAGTGAGAAAGACTGTCATCGTAAAGGAGACTGAGGTTAGCCTTGAATGAGAAAACGAACAGTAAAAATTCCAACAAAAAAACCTCTGGCATGGCAGTTGAGAAATCAGGGAAAAAACTCTAAAATATTTTAAATTAATATCCCTCTTTCTTGAAATATCCTTCAAACAAACATGCGCTAAGTAGGACAGAAAGAACTTTTCTCAGACTGTCTTGAAAATCACTATCAATTAATTTAGGACCTTAAATATATGTTTGTAGACATGCCGACATGCCAGCATTACTTGTATTTATTTAGGAAACATTTATTTCAAAAAACCTGAGATAATTTTAAGATATACCTTTCTGTATTGCAAGAGAAAAACGTATTTCCAATGAAACAGTGATATGCCATTGATTATAAGATGCAACCCAATTTCACGGAGATTTCAATGTGAAGCCCAAGAATTTAACCCAATCTTGTTATTTTATTTACAATGTAAATATCCTGGCATAAATCTTTTTTTTAAAGTTATTGGAAACTCGTCCTTTTAAAAAGCATTTACCTTTTGCGTCTACCAGGAGACATTAAACTGGCATGAGTTTTCTTCTCCTGAGGACCAGGAATGATATTTAAAGCCTCTCCCGCTGTATTTCAAAAGAACAAAGCAGTAAGTCAAGGAAACTGAATAGTATTCTAAACATGAATTAATGGCACACGTAGCATCGCAAAATTTTATATTAAATTCAGTTAGTATACAGTGAGTGACCACTATGAAAAAGGTAATGTAGAAAATATTAAGATATTAAGATATAGCACCTATCACTTAAGATTTTGCAATACAACCTAAAGTACGGTATAGTCTCAACAAAACATAACCTAGCAGAATAGAATTATAAGATGTATAAACTAAGTGTGGTATAAAAGAGGTTGGAGAAAAGATGGAAATGAAGAATGTAATAGATGGCAATAAATTTTAGCTGCACAGAAGAGAAAGAAGACTGGTCTAGAAACAGAGCTGGCACCTCAATTCTAATCCCACCTATATTATGAACTAGCTTTTTGCCCTTTAGTACCATGTGTTTACAAAAGTTTTGAGTATGCAACAAGCAAGATGTACCTAGATGATTTTTAAGTTTATTCCTAGCTTTAAGATTCAGCAAGGAGTATGAAAGATTTTCAACAGGTAGAGATAGAGGTGAACTAGAAAACATTCCTCATACCAGGAGAACAGACTAACATGAACAAAAATAAGGTTGCAAATTAGAAAGTGTATTCCTTTTAAAATCAAACATGACAGGGTTCTTTCTGTTAATGTAGAAAACTGCGAGTTAGAAAAGAGTTCAAGGCTGGACTTCAGTTAGAGCAGAAATAAGAATCCTAGATTAAAATGTCTCATAGATTTAATAATATGCCTATTTCATGGTAAATGTACCTAAAGTCTATTTCTCGTCTTTTTTTTTGCTATAATTTTATGAGTATAAAGACATTAGTATATCATCTCATTCATACAATTTGGTTAAAAACAAAATTTATGAGAGTTAATTTCAACTTACTGGTCACAGTGTCTTGTGACTGTGAATGATTAACCACTACAAAATTCGACCTCAAAGGAACTGAAGTTTGGCTAGTTGGCCGAATAACTTGTGTAGCTGTCAAAGGAGCAGTAGTAAATTGTCCTGAAAGATACGGTAAAGTCAGCAACTCTGAACTGACGGGAGCTCCTTGAGATGCAAGCCTTCTCTGCCGTTTGATTTCTGCAATTCCACTTCTTGTTCGAGCTGAAACACATGAGCATTTAAAAAATTAACACAATGTCAGAGTAGTTTGAGAATTTAAAGAAGTCTACATGATATATATCCTACTATTTAACATGTTAGACCTATAGGTTGAAAAATAGCCCTTAAAAATAACAAGTTTATATAATGTCATAAGAAACAAGCTAAAATGAGTACACTAAAACTTTATAAATCTAAGAGTACATTTCTTTTATAATAATTCATACTGATAACACCTCAAACTTAGAGAATATTTAAAATGTACTTTTTTACAATAAATGAAAATATTATTTCCTAAAATAACTCTACTTAGAAAAATAATAGTTTAAACAAATTAACACATGTAGTGTTAATTAAAATGTTCTTCTGACAGTTTGAGTTTGAAGTAATCCTGGACATTATTTAAAGCTGAATACCAACCTCTCTGATTGGCAGCAAACCCTGGGGAACTTTGCATGCTCCTAACAAACAAAACAAAGTAGGTAGACATTAAAAAAACTTCTGTTGCCAAGACACACTCTTCTTAAGCTGCAGTCAGACCTGAAGTAAATTATGAGTTAAAAGACAATAAATGTCTCTCAGACAAAAAAGACAAGCGTATTTTTTTGAGGAGATGGGTAATCAAATCTTATTTAATAGAAAAATAGGGGCATGTAAACACATTCACACACGAATAATTTTACCAAGTTTGTACCTAATGCAGTATGCATTAGAGAGCCTTGACATGCCATTAAGTATACAATTTGTCTTGACTTTAAAAACTCAATATATGTAAGAAAGCTATATATATAAAATTTTATAATTATCAATTATCTCTTATAACTATAGAGATGCCTTTTCCCAGAAATTCAGATTTCACATCTGACTCCATACATACTTTAGAATCCCAAAGTTGATTTCAAAGGACATCTTGCTTTTATCAAATTTATGACTATTAAATTATTTCATTCAACCTCTAAAGAAGGAGCAAAGCAAGCATATAAGAAAATTCACTACAAGCTGATTCTCCTTTTACTATGAATTGGAGTTACCCATGTTTTTGGTAAACAATCAAAGACACTGTACCATTGTCCTAGGAAATCTGTCAAACGTCTACCAACAAGAGCCAAAAAACTTACTAAATCAAATAAGCATTTTTAATAACACACAAACCAACCTTGGAGAATACCTGGCTAAGAGCCTTCTCTTTTTACATAACACTTTATCAATAAAATATCTCAATAACTTGTAAGTATTTATAGGTGTTAATGAAATTGTGAATGTCTTTGAAGATTACTGGCAAGGGGAGAAATGACAAGTTAGGAAAGGAGAATAAAGGTAAGACTACCAAATAAGATTTGGTACAGAGTTAGACAAAAAGCATTGGGACCATTTTAGCAGAAATTAAAGGAGCAGTTTTCCTTTAAATTGAGGAAGGAAAACGAGGCGTATGCTGAATTAAAGTGAGGTATTCACTTGTAGCTCTGGCAGAAAGGTAAGTAACTGAGGTTTTCATACCAGACTCTATAGTTAGATAAGAGACATTATAAAATTGATATCAACAGGGCTGGCATCCTTCCAAGGATGCTGAAACTTGCATTCCAAGGCCATGACCCAGGCAGAAGGTGGATATTAGTAGTATGTGAAAATTTTAAAAGAAGATTCCAGAAGTATTATTATTCAAGCTTGTTTTTTGCAAGGAAGAACCAATGGGGCATGGATTCTACACATCGATTCTCCATACGTAATGAAGATGCAACTGCATAAGGGAATTAACAGAGGACTGGGATTAGGGAACTTATATTCTAGCCAGAAATCTGCCTGTAAATTGCTATGGGAACTTGGAAGTGTCATTAAACTTCTATAAGTCTCAATTTCCTCATTTCTGAAAATTTTATTAAAGCATGCAATTTATTTCAAATTATTCCAATTAAAGACAAAGAAACATCGATAACCTCTAATTTCAAAATTAGATCAGTGTTATATAAACGCACCATGTGGGTCATAAGAAGATTTTAAACTCAAAGTAATTCTTACATGTGTTTGTATCCCAAAATCATTATACACATTCAGATAAGCTTATTACATAAGCTTTTTATTACCTGATCTGAGAAAGTGTATGGTCTAACTTCTTCCACAGAGATGACATAATTGCTGGGACATGATTTGATGTTTCTAAATCATAAGAGGAAAAGTTTCTTAATAAACCCAGTTGGAGAAAATTCATCACTTAATTTGAATAGACACAGAATGAGGAAAACTAAAACTTTTCTCTCGGCTGTTGACATGCTCAGAATGGAAGCTATAATCAGGCTGCTTTCTTTTTTCAAGCCATTGAGTATCAGATGCAATATGAGTGAAAATGGACATGTGTAAAATTTCCGAAGCTTTTTTAGAGTAATAACTTTGTATCTCTTTTGAATTAAAAAGACAAACTATTTTAAATCTTTGTTCTATTTGACGTCCTGTGACATTTGAAAGTGAACTAAAATAATTTGATTTATAAGTAATCATAAAGGTTATGGAACTCCTTGAGTGTGGAAATTAGTTTTCTACACCCAATGTTTTCATGTCTAAATCACTGTAATTGCCCAGCAACCTCTTAAAAAATGTTACTAATTACTAAGAATTACAGGCAAAATTCCTGAGGATTAGTTAGTCTTTTTTAGTATGTGTTCTAAAGCCACAATAATGGGAAACCCAGAAGATTTAAAATCTTTACCACATATTTATTAAAAAAAAAAAAAAAAAGAGAGAGAAAGCTCTCTGATATAAAAGTGGGATATAATTCTTTGGACTGCAATGGAATATTGTTTTTGATGTCATTTACACTGTAAATATTCCTGTAAGATAGTTAAGGTAGTTTGAGAAAAGAAAACTTTGGCAGAAAGTAACCTTCTTGAAGAGTTAGAAATGAAATTCAAGCCCTGAACTTCCAGGCCTACTACTTTCTACAGTTTCTCGTTTTGTGATCTTGGAAAAGTTATCTAGCTTCTTTAATCTTCGGTTTTCTGATATTTAAAAATGGGCCTAAAACGATCAGCAACTCTCACCAGATTATTTTAAGGACTAAGATAAAACATATGAAAGCATCTAGAACAATAATGTATCTGGACAGGATTCAATAAATGTTAAGCTTATTTCTTTTTTTTTTAAATCATTTTAAGTTATTTACTAATTAATTCTTTTGTTAAAGTGTAAGTTATGAAAATAATATTAGAGGATAAAATAAACAATTCTAAGTTTCTCCCTAAAACATTTAGGAGTTATTTTATATTCTGATAAATATAAGCCAGAATTTTATGATTGGTTTTTGTGTCCAGATCTAGACTACAAAAAACTTAAAAATATTAGTTTAAAATATTTTAACACAAAACAATGCTTGTTCATCAGAGTAGATACCCAGAGCTAAGAATTTTACTATACAGCTTAAAATTTTTTTATATTTTCTAATATTCAGATTTGCAATTTATCATTCAACATAAACACAAACTATTTAATTAGATATTCCCCGCTAAAATTTACCTCATAACTGAGACAGTTTTCTTTTGGCTTTTTAGAGGCATTAATATTCTTTAAAAAACTACTTCTAACAAAAACAATTAGATAAATGCTATATAAAACTAACAAACAAAAATCCCTGAACCTGAATTCTTACCTTTTGTTTTCATAGCCACATATTCATTCAAAATTGTTGTCAAGTTTTTTCCAAATAAGGACTGAAAAGCAAAAGATCAAGCATTACTCAAACTGTATCGTACTACTACTACTTTCTCACCATGAAACAGTTCACCAGATAGAAGCTATTAAAAGATCTGATTGCAGAGCAGCTGATGAAGAAAGAGTAAAAAGCAGGTCATCAAAAATGAAAATGGTCATTCAAGTTAGGGGATGAATCAAATCTTTTAAGGATAAAGAACACTGTCTGTTTGAATAAGACATTGTGACTATGTTTTTTTAGTCCAAATAATGCAAAGGCATAAAAGCAGTTTTTAGCTGGGAGGTAGGGATGCAGTTATACAACTGTTTAAAAACAATGAAGACTCACTCCTAATTTGCCCTTTCTATCCTGCAAGCCATGTGAACCTGCCAAGAACAAAGCAAAAAACTGAGTGTAAGAGACACTCTTCCCAAGGATCAGTACCATTGTGTTTTCACTTCGATCATCTCATAACCTCATTTGCTCCCTATTCCTACTACTACTAAAGGGCAGGCTTTTATTACCTCAAGTTTGTGGTCACATAATAAAACAGGAAAGAACAAGGATTTTTAGAGCTGACAGTTCTGGTTTCAAGTTCAACACTTACTACAGGTATAATAAATCACTTAAATTCTATAAGGCTTACTTTCATATATAAAAATGAACATATTAATTCAGACTCTTGTTATGAAGATTAAGGGAAGATACATGTAACATGACTAGGACAATGTTTAACACATCATAGGTGATTAGTACCTTTTCTCCTCCTGAACTTTCAGATTTCTAATTTGTTCTTCTTTCTTAATTAAAGTCTGAGAGGTTAGGGTATTTGCTTAATACTAACTTTGTCCTTATACCTTGCTTTATTCTAATAGCTAATAAATAATTGCTGAATGACTTATGTACTGAACTGTGTCCACCCCGCCCCCAGATGCATGTGAAGATATAGCAAGAAGGTGGCCTTAAGCCAGGAAGACAGTCTTCACTGGAACTGAATCAAGGACACCTTGATGTTCAACTTCTCAGCCTCCAGAACTGTGAGAAGTAAAGATCTGGGTGTTAGGTGTGCTTGTAACTACTAGGGCATTACTGTTACTAGGTGCTTCTAGCTGACGAAACAACAAAACACAGACATGCTAATCCACATATACAAACATATCTATATTTCTCTATATATTTGTACACATATTAAAATAAACATGACTCCATACTGATACCTGACTATAATTCAACACCACAGGTTTTATTCTTATGTTTATTTGTATCTTCTTTCTTGGAGAAACCTGGCTCCCATTATCTATAATGTATTTATGTACTTGCTTAGAATTGCTAATTTAGAAGAACTAAGAATTTATTTAAGATTCATTCATGTTGTGTGAATCAACAATGTTATTTTATTGTTTAGTAGTATTCCACTGTATAAATATACCACAGTTTCTTTGCTTACACATTTGCTGAAAGACATCTTGGTTGTTTTCAGTTTTTGATCACCACAGATAAACATTATTGTGCAGGTTTTTGTGTGAATGGAAGTTTTTCAATTCACTCGGGTAAATATCTGGGCATGAGTGCTAAGTCACATGAGGGGAGTATGTTTAACTTTACAGACAACTGCCAAACTGATAATATGGAGCACTTTTTTCATATGCTTATTGCCATCCATATATTTTCTTCGGGAAAGGGTCTTTAAATCTGCCCACTTAACAAAAATTGTTGTTGTTTTTTTAAATTTTAAGAGCTTTTAAAATAATCTAGGTAAGTATCCTTTCCCAGATATATTTCCTCCTAGCTGTGGCTTGTCATTCTTTTAATGCTGTCTCTTGCAGAGCAAAAGTTTTTAATTTTTATAAGGTTGTAATTTTATAGTTAGTGCTTTTGGTACCATATCTAAAATCTCAATGCCAAACTCCAAGCTACACAAATATTCTCCTACGTTTTCTTCTCAAAGTCTTCTAATTCTACGTTTTACATTTTACTCTACTATCTATTTGGTTAATTTTTGTATAAGGTATGTGTAGAGGTTCTTTTTTTTTGTATCTGGATGTCTAATTGTTCTATCATCATTTGATGATAAGATTATTCTTTCTTCATTGAATTGCCTTTGCACTTTTCTCAAAAATCAGTTTCCTTCCACTGATCTAAGTGTCTAACTTTCCCCTAATGCTACTCAATCTTAATTAGTATAGCTTGTTAGTAAGTAATGTGAATCCTCCAACTTATCCTTTTTAAGAATTGTTTGGGCTACTCTAGATCCTTTGCATTTCCATATAAAATTTAGAATTCAGCTGCTTTCTATGTATAAAAATACTTGTGGAGATTCTGACTGAAATGAACCTATAGACCAAAATGGGGAAAATTGACATTTTAACAATATTGTTTTTCGATCCATGAATACAATATATCTCTTCTTTTATTCAAATCTTTGATGTCTTTCATAGACATTTTAGAATACATATCCTATATTTTATTAAATTTATTACATACGTATTTTATTTTTGTTTGTTGCTATTGTAAATGATATTTTTAAAAAACTCAACTTTCAGTGGTCCATTGTGGGTATACAGAAATACAATGAACTTTTGTGTATTTTGTACCCTGTGACCTTGCTAAACTTTAGCAGCGTTATGGATTTTTAAAGTTTCCTATACAGATTATCATGTTGTCTGTGACAGATGAAATAAATCTAAGAAGCCATGTTTGAAATAAGATGATAAAGTATTATATCAAATAATGTAGTTCCAGAATATACCCATTATATACCAAATGATGCTGTTATTTAGTGATATTTTAAAAAGCAGTGACAACAAGATATCAAAATACCTATTTTACATTTGTCTGAAGTAAACAACCAAATAGCAAAGATTGGGCTAATATAAAACACCATAGACCAGACGGCTTAAATAACAAAAAGTGATTTCTCATTCCAGAGGCTGGAAAGTCCAAGAAAAGGTGACAGCTGATCTGGTTCCTGGTGAGAACCAACATTCTCGCTTGCAGACGTCCACCTTCTTGCCGTGTGCTCACATGGCTTTTCCTCATTGCATGCACATGGAGAGATCTCTTTCTTTTCTACTTCTTATATGGGCATTAATTTTATCATGAGTGTCCCAAACTCTTAAGCTAACCTAAACTTAATTATTTCCCAAAGGCCCTATACCCAAATGCCATCATGCTGGGGTTTAGGGTTTCAGTATATGAAATTCGAAGGGATACAAATATTTAATCCATAGTAGCAGCAAACAAGTAAGCCCCAAAACAAGTAGTAGTGAACGTAATTAGAAATGAGGGTGTCATTTTGAAACTGCTTTTCAGAGGCAAAGTTGTAATTCACTTATCAGTTTTGGCATAAATGTGTGATGAGAAGAGGTGGTATTCTTTGGATCTTTCCAATCATGCATGAATACAAACTATCAAATTTCTGCCCAATTTGATTTTGCTAATGAGCTGATCTAAGATTGTGCTTATAGTCTCTTATGTTGGTTAATGATGAAATACTTCCTTTAAGAAACAAATCACTCACCAGTAAGCAGGCTGGGATAAAACCTTCATCTGTACAGTGTTCTGCATATTCTTTTAAATGTGAACTTTCCAAAATAAAAGTCTGGCAAGTAGAAGAGAGGTTTTCCTGTTGTAAGTAACCTATATGAAAAATAAAAGTTTAGGTAATTTCAGTAAATTCTGCACTTTTGATAAAACTGCTATTAAAAATGTTAGAGCCCCACGTTGGCCACACACACAAAAGCAGAGCATTTTCATATCACAAGTAGAATTTCAAGTGGAATGGGCTGGGATTCTGCAGCCTTGCCCAGAAACACCAATTTGTGCTGCCACAAAGTATAATTCCTAAAATAGATGACTGTTTAATGGGAAAAACTCTAACAAAACTAGAAAAATAAAATGTAATTATTGCATAGTAATACTTACAGGAGAATTAATAAAACAACGATAAATAAATAACAGGAGAACCAATAAAGAAATGATAAATATTCTTCTACTCCATAACCTCGATATTAGCTAGGTCAGAAGTTGATATAAATTAACTTACTGAATTATAAAAAAATCTACATTCTCTTAATGTTGCTATTTACTTGCATACTTCACTTATTTGTCCAATAGTTTAAGAAAAAAATGAACGAAAGAACTACTTTGACAAAAGGTAAGAAAAGCACTCCTTGGTTTTTAATTTATGCCCTTTGGGAATCAAAGCATTAACTATGTCAACAAGAACTTTAATATTCAAATCTAACTGATATTTATGGAACAATATTATGAATTGTACCAGTGCTCGGTACTTTTACACTTATGAACACTATTTGTCCTGATTAGCAGCCTATCCTTGTTCTTTTGTTTCTTAGGGTTACTAAGTTTTAACTAAACCAATTGCTAAAAATAGCAGTGTAGTACAAAAAGAACAGTGGATAGGCTATCAGGAAACCAGGTTTTATTCTATTCTATTAAAATAAGGACTTTGGGGGGGAAATTACCAAAATTCTTCAGGACTCAAGATAACTTCATCTATACGGCAATACACTTCCCTTGACATGTGGATCAGATTTGGTTAAATTACTCCCTTGTGGAAAGCCCTTCAATCACTTCCTGTAGCTCTCAGTTTAAACTCTAAATTCTGAGAGGCTTCAGTAGGAATGGTGGATTGTGAGGACTCCAAAAATCCTCTCCTCCATAAAAGCAACGAGAACACTAGCACAAATATTAAAATCAATTTTTACAGAACTCTGAAAAATAGTCAAAGTGTTGCAAAAACCTGAGTATTTATTTTTAAAAATGACTAAATGTTAGCAAGTACAGTGAATATTGTGGAATTTTAAATTGCTCTAGTCCTACGCTCATTTCCCCAGCTTTGTGGTACACCTGAAAATCAACAGCTTGTAATCGTGAAAACTAACAGCCTAGCAGTCAGTGAAGAAATTAGATGGTGCTGGAATTCTTCCAAAGCCTTATTCTCAGAAACTGTCATTATTTGACCCTTGTGACAACACCCTGTAAAACCGCACTTGCACGGCTTGTCTTCGAACTGAATATGTGCTCATCCAGTGCAAACAAGGTACTCCTTGACAGTGTTTGCTTATAATGATCTGCAGAAATTGCTTAACACCACAGCTGCCCGTGACACAATATAATAGCTGGGACAAACAATAAGTAAACAAACAAAAAAACACTTAAAAAGAAAAAGACCTGACAAGGCCCTAAACCCTTACCCTCTGGCTGACCATAATGCTCTGAGCAAGCAGGAAGTGAAGGCCAAAGAGTTGTCAACTGCTTAGACGAATGCTGAAGCATTCCTCAAAGTACACACAGCCCCCTGGCAAACAATGGGAAACTTACTGACTCTAATCATTTAAGGAAATCAACGTCCAATCATAGATTATAAACTCAAAGAATACAGACTTTACTATATAATTGGATCAGCAACTAAATAAACAGCAACTGCTAAAACCCCAACAAATAGTAATAACAAACATGGGGAAGAGAGAAAAGTTTGATCCTAAGAGTTGTCACATTTAAAGTATCCAATTTTCAAAAAAAATTTATGAGACATGTGGAGAAACAAGAAAGAATGGCTCATATATGGGGCGGGGGGAGCAGTCAATAGAAACTATTCCTAAGGAAGCTAAGACACTGGACTTATGACTTTAAACAGCTATTTTAAATAAGTTCAGAGAACTAATGAAAACCATGCCTAAATATCTATAAAGTATGATAACAATGTCTCATCAAAAAGAAATATAAGTACCTACAAGAGACTCAATTCGGTTCGAAAGAGACTGAAAGTAAAAGGATAGAGATATTTCATGAAAATGGAAAGGAAAAAAACAGCTGGGGTAGCAATACTTATACCAAACAAAACAGACTAAAACAAAGACTATAATAAATTAGACAAAGCAGGACCCACTACTCCTGCTTCTGGATATTTACCTGAAGAAACCGAAAACACTAATTTGAATGGACATTTGCATTCATATGTTAATTACAATAAAGATATGGCAACAACCTGGGTGTCTATCAATAAATGAATGGATAAAGAAGAAGTGGTACATATACATAATACAACATATTACTCAGCCACAAAAAAGAATGAAATCTTGCCATCTGCAACAACATGGATGAACCTAGAGGGTATTGTGCTGAGTGGTGAGACAGACAAATGCCATATGATTCACTAATATGCGTAATCTAAAGAACAAAATAAATGAACAATGGAAAGTGGAGAAACATGGTGGAGTGAGAGATGATCCTAGATCTCTCCTCGTGAAACAATAAGCTGAACATTTAAAACTCAACAAAAAACACCCAAACCGCACACCAGAACGTCTCAGCATTGGATATGTGCATAAGAATTACCACAAGACAGAACCCTGAGTGTTGGGCGGTGGACTGAGAGAAATAAAGAAGCTGCCTCTCGAAGCCTGCGGGAGCTCCTTGCAGGAGGAGGGAGAGGTGAAGGTGCGGTGACTTCCTTGATCAGCTTGTCCTGAAGTGCCGGAACTTCTAGCAGCTGGCAGCAGGGCCCAGCCATCAGGGCAGAAAGCAGAGAAGCGGGATGGGATCACAGAGAAACAACAGTTTTTACCGGCCCGGTTGCAAAACCAAGGCTGAGCCGCGGCCTCCAACTCCCAGAGGCCCGTTCCCCCAATACCCTCCGAGACCGAACACAGTGGAGCCCTAGGGGAATCTGAGCCAATGCCACCAAAACTGTTGCCAACACTTACAGGGACTTAAACTGAGAATAGCAAGTTTGATTAAATATCTACGAGAAAATAAAAAAGACATTTAGGCTCTACATAAAGCAGGGATTCAAGAGGCTTAGATGCCACCTACTGGAAACCAAAAGAAAAGCGCCTTCTTTGCAACAGGCTAAAGAGAGACCATTATATAATAAATCAGCAGAACACACTTCCATTCATGCTCAGGTGGAGAAATAGTCTATTAAACACCATGAACAACCAAGGAGACAAGGCATCTCAGAAAGAAAGAAAAAAATCTCCAGAAAATAAGTTTACAGACATAGAAATGAGACTTAAATGACAAAGAAATCAGGATGGTACTTCTGAAAAAACTCAGTGAGATCCAAAACAAATCAGCAATTTCAGGAATTGAAAAAACAAGTAGATGAGCAGAGCAATGAGGCTGAAACCCTCAAAAGGAACCAAATAGAACTGCTAGAGATGAAGAACACACTGCAAGAGTTGAAAAATGAAATAGCAAGCTTGGGAAATAGAGTTGACCAATGGTGGAAAGGATCAGTGATATTGAAAACAGAAATCCAGAAATAAATCAGAAGGAAGAAGAGAGAAACCAAAGAATGAAAAATAAAGAGAATAACAAGAACTAGCAGATACCATCAGGAGAGGAAACGTAAGAATAATGGGCATTATTGAAGGTGAGGAAAAGAAGCAGGGACTAGAAAGCATTTTCAGACAAATAGTGGATGAGAATTTCCAAAATCTAATGAATAAGCTAGAGCTTGAAATTCAAGAAGTTAACAGAACACCCAATTAGCTCAACCCAAAAAGGCCTTCACCAAGACACATTGTATTAAAATTACAAAAATCAATGACAAAAACAAAATTCTCAGGGCAGCCAGGGAAAAGAAGACAGTAACCTATAAAGGAAAACCCATTAGATTATCATCAGACTTCCCAGCGCAAACCTTACAAGCCAGAAAGGAATGGAACCGAATATTAAAACTATTAAGTGAAAGGAACTACCAGCCTAGAATAATGTATCCAGCTAAGCTCTCCTTTAGATATGAAGAAGAAATTAAGACCTTTCTAAATATACAAAAATTGAGGGCATTTTGCACTACGAGGCCTGCACTACAGAAAACACTAAAAGGGGTCAGTTCACCTAAAACAAAATAATGAAACAAAACAAAACAAAAACAAATACATAATTAGGAGTAAAGTGACTACCAGGCAAGTAGAAGCAGAGGAGTGCAGTCCTTATTAAGAACAGGGCATTATAAGCTTAAATGAAGAGAATTGCTATAATAAGATAGTAACAAACGTTCAGCATACTTAGGGACAAACTGAAATAACAATTACTGAAAAGAGGAGGATTCAAAGATCCAAATTCACAAAGGGGAAAGGAAATAAGGGACATGCAGAAGAAAATGGACGACTGTATATATATAACTATCCTTGTCATTTGTAATATTAACTACACACCAAAGATTCAAAACTGAAGTATATAACATAAAACAAGAAGAACCAGAGTCAAAACCCACAAAACCCAACCAAAATAAAGAAAACAGAAACACAAGGACAAGGAAGCAATGGAAACACCGAGCTACCAGAAAGCAAAAGATAAAATGGCTATAAGAAGACTTCATATTTCAATAATCACCTTAAATGTAAATGGACTGAACTCACCAAAAAAAAGGCACACAGTTGCAGATTGGATCAAACAAAACCGAACCATATGCTGCCTCCAGGAGACACATCTCAGCATCAAAGACAAATACAGATTCAAAGTGAAGAGTGCAAAATTATATTTCAAGCAAATAGTATTCAGAGAAAAGCGGGAGTAGCGGCACTAATATCGGATGAAATAGATTTCAAAATAAAAAAGGTAAAGAAAGATACTGAGGGACACTTCATAATGATAAAGGGAATCACGTA